CGATGTGAATGGCTGCGTCTATCCGAAGAACCAACGAAAGACGAAGTATAAGCCCGACTCGGTCCAGGCACACCCGGGATACTTTGCTATAGAGCTGGCATCGGGGGTCAGGGTTGATATGACAACTGCGCACCATACATCCCTGTTTCGCTTCCAGTTCCCAAACGATAAAAGCACCAGCCCATTGATCTTGCTGGATCTCACCGATCTGTCGAACTCCCGTCAGGACAATGCGACCATATCGGTGGATAGCACAACGGGCCGTATGACCGGTGATGCGCGGTTTGCTCCTAGCTTTGGCTCGGGAACGTACGTATTGCATTTCTGTGCGGACTTCAAAAGCGCCGCTCCCCAGCGGGACAGTGGTATCTTTGTCAATTCTCGTGCTAGTGCTGGTGTTCACGATTTGAAAATCTCGCGCAGTATCAATGGGTATCCGCTTCCAGTGAGTCCAATACTTTTTCTTGTATGCAGAGAGGGCTAACAGTCATTCTATAGGGCGGCGGATTTGTCCGCTTCAAGCCTGCCCCGGAAAATACGGTCCTCGCTCGAGTTGGCATAAGCTTCATGAGCACAGAGCAAGCTTGCGCTCATGCCGAGTCTGAGATTCCACACTTCGACTTCAACGCAACCCGCCAGACAGCAGTCAACAAGTGGACCGAAAAGATGCGTCCGATCCGTGTCTCACGAAAAAACATCGATGCATCCGTTCTGACCAATTTCTACAGTGGAATCTACAGGACTATGGTCAACCCCCAGAACTACACAGGCGAGAACCCACTCTGGCAGAGCAGCGAGCCTTACTTCGATTCATTCTATTGTCTCTGGGATTCTTTCCGTTCCCAGATTCCATTCCTTACTATCTTCGATCCTTCCTCAGTAGCGCAGATGGTGCGCTCACTCATCGATACCCAGCGCCATCTAGGCTGGCTCCCGGACTGCCGCATGTCACTATGCAAAGGATACACACAAGGCGGTTCTAACGCCGACAACGTCCTGGCAGATGTCTACCTGAAAGGTCTCAGGGATGGCATTGATTGGGATGCCGGGTACGCAGCTGTACAAAGGGACGCCGAGGAGGAGCCATACGATTGGTCCAGCGAAGGCCGCGGCGGTCTACGCAGCTGGAAGGACCTGCACTATATACCCGTGGAAGACTTCGACTACGAGGGGTTCGGCACAATGACGCGCAGCGTCTCACGCACACTCGAGTATTCGTACAACGACTTCGTCATAGCGCAAATGGCTCGCGGCCTGAACAAGACAGCCGATGCAGAGCGGTACGAGAACCGGTCACGATACTGGCAAAACCTATTCAAAAGTGACCAAGCCTCTCTCTGGCAAAACAAGGACACTGGCTTCACCGGTTTCTTCCAGCCGAAGCATCTAAATGGAACATGGGGCGTGCAAGACCCCCTAGCATGCTCGAACATCGACCAGAGCGGACGCGCCTGCTCACTGCAAAACACTGCAGGTGAAACCTTCGAATCCAGCATCTGGGAGTATCAATTGTAAGCTTAGCTTTCTCCCATCCAAGTCTACTTCTCTATTTCCAACCCCAACCCCTTCTAACCAACCTCAGCTTCGTCCCCCACGACATGCAAACCCTAATAACCCTCCTCGGTGGCCCGACCAAGTTCGTCACTCGCCTCGACTACCTCCACGATCAAAACATAACCTACATCGGCAACGAGCCAGCCTTCCTAACAGTCTTCCAATACCACTACGCGGGGCGACCAGCAAAATCCACTTCCCGCGTGCGCACCTATATCCCAGACTATTTCTCACCGACGCCAGCCGGACTACCAGGGAACGACGACTCGGGCGCGATGGGCTCGTTCGTCGCCATGGCGATGATGGGATTATTCCCGAATCCTGGACAGAGCGTGTACCTACTGACAGTGCCGTTCTTCGAGTCTGTTAGTATTGTTTCCCCGTTGACGGGGAAGACGGCAACGGTGAGGACTGTTAACTGGACGGAGTTTAATACGGCTAATGCTACTGGCGGCGCTGCTGGTGGGAATGGGTTTATTCAGTCTGCTATGCTGGATGGGAAGCCTTATACAAGGAATTGGATTGGACATGATTTCTTCACGGAGGGGAGGGAGTTGGTCCTTGTTCTTGGGGAGGAGGAAAGTGAGTGGGGGACTAAATTGGAGGATTTGCCGCCTTCTTTGGCGACGGAGGCTGGGGTTGCTGGTGGTGATGCGGTCGTGAGGGACCGTAGGTGGGAGAGTGTTGTTGAGGATATGTAGCTTGGCTTTGCTAGCTTTGCATTGAAGCGTGCTTTGCATCTTGATCATCGCGTCCGGAGGGCGGGGGATTATTATGTGGATACGAGGAGCTTGGTAGCTTAATTTGCTACTCTGCTTTCTTATATATACACCGCATTCGATAGGTAGTTTATCCTTATACTCATTTGCCTGCCTCGGATGTTTAATTACATATGTATTGCTTCTAACCGGAGTTTTATGAGTAGGTCTTGAGCAATATTATGCCCACGCATTCTGAGCATTGAACAATGTTCGTGAAGACATAGATACATTCGTGTGAGCAGAGCTAACATAAAATGAAAACAAGAAGGAAAAAAAGTCTGTTGATATGATGAATATCAGTCATAAAATCAGAAACGTATATACAACGGCCAAGTAGTAATAAAACCATCAAAACGCTAGTCTTTCGCACGAGTCCCTCCATCTCCGAAAGGAACAAACTAAAAGCACAAACCAACAATCCAAAGGAGAAGAGTTGACCTTATATCCTCTACTGAGGACGATGGAACTTGCTCGCAACCCAAGGCATACCAACAACAGTAGCCTTGCGGACCTTATTGCGGACCTTAACAGCAAGCTCGGTACCCTTAGTGTGCAGCCCCTGCTTGACATACGCCATAGCAATATTGGCACCACCAAGCGACGGACTCGGCAGACCAGAAGTAACAACGCCGACCTCAACGGGGTTCGCGGCGTCAGAGATATCGACGACGACAGCGCCTTCGCGAGCTGGAGGGCCCTTCTCAACGGTCAGTCCAACGCGACGCTGGGGGATAGTCTTCGGGCTGGCAAGTTGGGGAAGGATAACGGAAGCACCGTTGAAGGTAGCAGTGGCAGGATCGCGACGATCACGGCCGACGACCCAGCCAAGGGCCGCGGCGGGCGGAGTCTGCGCGGTGGAGATGTCGTGGCCGTAGAGACACATGCCTGCCTCAAGACGGAGGGAGTCACGGGCTGCCAGACCAGCGAGACGGGATTTGCTGCTGTCGGCGAGGAGGAGCTCGGTGACTTGTCGGGGCAGGGATGGGGCGCCGGAAGTCGGGATGGAGATCTCGAAGCCGTCTTCGCCGGTGTAGCCGGTGCGGGAGATGAGGAGTGGGTGTGCGGTTGCGCTGCCGTCTGGTAGGGTGAGGTACAGCTCACGGCAATTGCCGAAGTAGAGGGTGCTCAGGTCGGTTTCGGAAGCAGGGGTGTTCGCGGTGTGGATGAGGGGTTGGAGGACGGAGGCGGCGAGGGGTCCTTGTAGCGCGACCAGCGCGCGGTCGGCGAGGATCTCCCACTTCAGGCTGTCGGCTCCGTGCTTGGAGCGGTAGGCATCGATCTCGGCGGTTAGGAAGGCCAGATCCTCTGTGCGGCGGCCGGCGTTCGTGACGAAGTAGAAGGTGTCTTCGCTGCGGCGGGTGATAACGCAGTCGTCGACCATGCCGCCGGTGCCTTCTTCGAGGAGGCAGGAGAGGGTGGAGGTGTTTGGCGCTAGCTTGTCTACCGAAGAAGGAGTCACCTTCTTCAGTAGATCAATGGCTCCTGGGCCGCTGAGTTGGTGCTGAACCCTGTGGATTGGGAACTTGGTTAGCCATTGCGGGTTTGTTTTGGCTCGGAGACGGTTGACTTACATGTGGCTTACGTCGAAAAGACTGGCCTTCTCGCGAGTCCACATGTGGCTTTCCACGTGGCTTAGATCCGCGTACTGCAAAGGCATATCGAACCCAGCGAAGGGCACCATCTTGGCACCGTGCTCAACGTGCAAGTCATACAGCTGCGTCTTGCCGAGGGGCTCGCTGGAGCTAGAGGCATACCGCACAGCCTTGTTCGCAGCGCGCGAAGCTATGGCTGCGACTGGAGCATTGGCTTTCAATGACCGAGAGACTGTTGGTCGCACAATAGCCGCGGAGGAGAGCTCCCGCCGAAGTACGGTGGAGCCGATAGAGGCGCGGGGAAGGTTGAGGCTGGCGGCCCTCGCGGCGGCGAGGTCGACACCTCGTGTGAGAATACGGACACTTGACATGGTGAATCGATGCTGGAGGAATCGAATTGACAAAAGAAAAGAGAAAAAGAGAAGCAAATGAACCGCGAGAAGACACCAAATCGCCGTCGGGGAAGAATGGCGGGAAAGTCACGTGGTGATAGGCGATCGGGGAGTAGCTGATTGCCCGATTCGGACGTTCTACCGGGCGCTGTTGGCGATCTAGTGCTTATAGACTGACCACACTACTGGTCTCTTTTAACACACCAAATACTACGCATTGTATGACTCGGCAAATTCACGTTTAGCTTTTCCGTCGGTGGCAATTGCGTTCCTGGCTACATTGATTGGTAGACCAAAGGGCCATCGGAGTATTGCCGCGGCGATGGCAAATCAAACCCGGAGAGCCAAATTGCAGCCTCCAAGCCGACCTCCTGCATTGAATTAAAGATGACACCCGCTGCAAATAATGCAGGGATAAAAATATTCATATAGAGGGAGCAAGTCCCATAATTCGCCCTTTTCCACCAAGCTTTACAAAGCAATTGAAAGCCTGCGGAATTCGCATCCATCTGAAAAGCTATTCCTATACCACAAAGGCGCTCAAGTGGTTTAAAACCCACGATTATCCACCACCTTGCTTCATCGGTCATCACAGTCATCAAGTTACCGGAGTGTATGACCCGGTCTATCGTGCACAAGAGATCCAAATGCGAAGATGAAGATAAAAAGAGAATGTAACAAAGTCCCCGCCCTGTGGGGGTTTACAGTGCATTGCTGGCACATGTGAAAACGCCGCCGACGGTGCCTTCCTCGTAGCTGGTGACCACGGACATAACAGCAGCCTAGAAGGAATAAGTGTGTTAGCAAGATGACAATAAAGAGCAAGAACAAGGCACGCCGAAGCAAGCCAAATAAGGGACTCATCACTTACGTATGTTCCAGGTCCCAAGAAGAAGAAACCAACGAGAATTAAGAAGACATTAAAAATGAATCCAATCCAGCCGCGAATCCCACGGACCATAAAGAAACGAGGTCCGTGATCCGCAGAACGCATGCGGATGTAAGCGGTACCCCAGAAAATGAAGCCGAAGAAGGAATCAAAGAGGGAGCTCATGATAGACAACAAGCCAGAGAAGAAGGGAATGACTTCGGCAATGATAAAGGCGGCAAGCCAAAGTGCGGCAAGAATTCCACCCCAAGCAGCCCAGCCAACGACAGTGTTGTTGCCCTTGTGGCGGGTGCCCTCGAACAGGCGGAAGAAGATGAAACGGGCTGAGACGGAGGCGTACAGCACGCCCAGGAAAATGATAGTCGGGATCATGAACGAGAAGGAGACCTTCTTGAACATGTCGTCGCCGATAGAGCCGAACGCTGGTGCAATCATGTACTGGTTGCCGACGTAGACGTAGGTTACCGCACCGACGACGCTGAAAACGATGATCTCGGCGATTGTCACAGCTGTCACGGACTTCCAGAAGTCGCGGGGCTCTTTCATCTCGGCGATGAAACTGGGGAGGGTGATTTGGCCGATGAAGGTGTAGCTGATGTTCAAGAAGGCATTCATGCCCTTGACAAATGAGGTGCCCTTGGCCGGGATGACGAGCACAATGGGTTCTCCCAGTGCGGGCGAGTATCCTGCCGGGTGGTCTTCGACTGCAGCGAACACGGCCGCCAGGACAACGGAGATGAAGGTGAAGAACGCTGAGAGGGTTGCGACTTTGGACAGCGTGCTGAATGTGCGGGGTAGCGAGAAAACCCACGAAATGATGGCGACGATGAATGAGAAGACGACTGTGCATACTGCACCATTGGACATCGTGTTCAAGTACTCGGCGCCCACTACGCAGTGCAGGCCCTGGATAAAAGTGTTGTTCAGGAGGAACATGACTGCTGTGGCCCACCACGCAACCTTGGAGTCCCAGAACAGATACTGACCGATGTCGCAAACGTCGCGGACTTCCGGGTGTCGCAGACAGAATTTCCTATGCAAACATTAACACCGAAACTCACCACGGCCTCGCAGCCATTGAGCAGGATATCATACCAGGTAATCAGGGAAGTGTATAGGACAATGCCGGCAATAACCACGGTCAAGATCAAACCGGGAACCAGACCCAGAATTGAGTATGACCAGGGAAAGGACATAATAGCCAGACAGATGTACTCAGAGAAAAGCAATGCAGCAGTCTGTAAAGAAAAGATCAGCCAATCGGGTCTCAACTTCCTTATCGGTCCCAAGCGCACCTTTTGCCAACTACACGTGCGGTATTTGATTGTGTTGTCCGACTCCATCTCAATCTGGCGACCAATGCTTTCCGTCGTAGACGATGAGTCGATGGCAGTGACATGATGCTGCGAGCCGCGGCGACCCTGGCCCTCGATGTCGAAGTCCTTGAGCTTGGGTTCTTGTTCGGACTTGTCGGACAGCTCGAGGCTGTTGTCGTGGTCCCGGTCATGGTCCCAGCTGATAGGATTCGGCGATTGATTTGGACCAGCCATTTTTTTATTTTAGAGAGCGGATAAACCGCGCTTGTCGGGACTCGATGGAGTCTAGAGGAGAGCTGAAGATCTGCGGATGCATGTAATGCTCGAGAAGATAATTGATGGGATACTGGTCGCGCGTAAGCGGATTGTGTTCTTTTTCTGTGTTTGTCTTTTTGTTCTCTTAAGACAAATGCACCGGTCAAACACTCACACGACCAAATTCTGGGAGGGATCAGCCTGTTGGAAGGTGAAGCGATCAGAGCTGGACGGATTAGGGCAAATGCGGGTACTTGAGGTAGTATTCGCTGAACTGCACGCAATTCTCAACTGGACTGCAGGGTGGGAAGAAGAAGAGATCAAAGGAAGAAAAGGAAGAAAGATAAGAAATTCAAAAGGGAAAAAAAATTCTCGAAGCTGGTATAGTAGAATACCAGGTATGGTGCGATCGCATCGTGCATGGTAATCTATTAATTATAATATCTGGAGAATTACCGTCCTTTCCGACTCTTCTCCACCGGCTTAACATCTAAAAAAAGGAGAAAAATCCAAAATGGAAGAGACCGAAAGGTCGAAATATGACGTTGCAAGAGCCAAGCATCAGCCGCAATAGGCGAAGCGTAAGCCGTGGCTTGCGGTCGACTTGTGCCAAGGGACGGTGTATGGACGTGATCCTGATGATCAGGGTTGGATGGATTATCATGGACTTGACGCATCTCATAGTCTATGATGCACACCGAATAGTACATATACAAAATGCCTTCTTTTTTATTTTATTTTTTTCTCTTTGATATCGAACTCCACGGGCATCCCAAATCCGCTTTTTCTCAAGGGGCCGTGAGCTAAGGTCGCTATTTGATTGGAACTTCAGAATGCGCCTAAACTAAAAGTCGGTTGCACCCCCATATCGTATGCGTTATTCTATGCGTCGAGTGGACCGGGCCCCGCATGCGGATGGCTAATGACTGCTAATGAATCCATGCTCAAGATTGGAATCCATGTATAGCATGCCTCGCGAACATGGGTTCAACAGGGAACAGTGGAAATATGGTATAACTAGATATCCTGTAATTTGTCAGGGATTCCACTTTCGATCTCGATTTGGCTAATGGAAGCATCGGCAATTTGTCAATCTTGACGTTTTTCGTATTTTTCTGCCTGAGGCAACAACGCCATTCCACGTGCTGCTGACTCAGACTCTGGCCCGGGCGGGGCCCCTTGCCTCTTCCCTGGAGGTCTTCAGGCATGAAGTACAGAGTACATATGCGAAAACGCCATCAGGACTACGGAGTATGCTGAATCATGTTGTACATATCTGACATGGTATCCAAGAAAGGGTCGAATATTACTCCGTACACACAAAAACGGTAAATGAACATTGAAATTGAACGGTTCTGGCCTTCGGGGCCGCTCTTGCGTGCGAACCCGCAGTGATGGCATCAAGGTCCACACGGCCTACTCCCTATGGCGTCGAGTAATTTGGGGGCTTTCAAGCCACACAGGATTTGAGCTTATTTAGATGCCATCTGTGTTTAATACGTTGCCTTTTATGGTAGTATTATGCGCGATATTTAGACAATATACTTTTGAGACCTTCCGTATGTACGGAGTACGGTATCCCTTGCGACATTTCTAAAGCCACAGTGCTACTCCGTATAATGTCTACGCTTTCATTGGACCCCCATCGTTGTCCTATAGGACTGCATACTTTTCGCCCAGAGAGGGGTAAGGCTTGGTTTTGGACCGGCAGGCTTGTTAGGTCTTGGTCCTCGGCATACAACATATTCCAAAGAGCTTCTATTGACCGCAGCGCCTAGAGACGGAATATAGATGGTAGATAGGATAGATATAGATAATAATGGAAATAGAAAAATGAATAATAAGGAAAGCAGAATGTGTGCAACCTGCAACAACTCCAGATGCAAAACAGGAATTTTGGCCCCCACGGGGGGTAAGAAATAATCGAACTCTTTTGTGCAAGAACAAACAGATTACATCCCCAGGTCCTCGTTTTCCAGAAGCGCAGCGTAGTCGTCCGCAGAGGCGAAAGTGGGCAGTTGCTTGAGCTTGCGGCGCTTGCTGCGGTTCGACTCGGGCGCAGCATCGGGCTTTTCGGGCTCTTCGAGATCGACTCCACCCAATTCCATATCCGATGGCAGGTCCTCGTCGCTGTCGATGAAGGCATCGTCGTCCGACACATCCATATCGAAGTCATCGGAATCCTCCTCGGCTTCCTTGGAGGGCTTCTTGGCGGCCTTCTTGGTCTTGGCTGGGGGCGCGGCTTCCTCGGGCTCGCTGAACTCGGCCATTTCCTTGTCGGAAGGAACATCGGATTCGTCGTTGAAGATAACGCCGCCGTCGGAGTCGTCCTCGTCCGCGCCTTCGCCATCTTCTTCGTCGGAGCCAAAGGCGGATTCCAAATCGGACATGTCCAGATCATCGTCGCTGTCCTCGTCGGCTTCCAGCTCGGGACGAGAATCGACGAGCGCTTTCCAGATCTCGTCCTCGTCTCCGCTAAGACCCTCGTCGGAGTGATCATCGGCATCAACGTCCTTGCTCTTCTTCGAACGCACCTTCTCCTTATCCTTGTTGACACGAGTGAAGTATTCGTGGAAGAAGACATCCTCCGCGGCAACTTCATCGGCCTTCTTTTTCCAGAAGGCTTCGGTGTTGAGCGGCAGCTGGTTCTGTGCCTTCTTGCCCGCCTCCACCAACCGGTCAGCGGCTTCACCGCCACCCAGGGGCTGCATGATAGAAGCACCGCGAGAGCTGACGTTGGCCTTGGGCGTGCGGTACACGAATCGGTCAAGGAAGTGAGTGAGAGTGTGCAAAGTCAGATCTGGTTTGCCACTCATGGGGTTGTGCTCAAGTAGATTGGTAGCGTTGAGAGAGACGGAGGGATGGAAGTGAGAGGTGAAAGGCAGCAATTCCCAAAGACAGCTCCGGTCGGCATTGCTGTGCTCGGGGTCTCGCTTGCGAGGATCGTATACGTTGTTCTGCTTCTTGGCTTCCACAATAGGAGCAGGTTCCGGCTGTTCGTCGTCCTCATCGAGGACGTCACGGAAGACCTCTTCATCATCATCATCGTTCTCCTCCGGCTGATCGACCAAGGCTGAGAGACCTGTGAAGGTCTTCTCGAGCTCACGGATCATGAAGAAAACACCGCAGATGAACGAGGGTTGGTGCATGCCAAGTACCTGGACAAGACGCTTGACAAATGCCTTGACTCGGCGGACGTTCAGATCATTCTTGAGAGACTTGTACAGGAGGTTGAGATAGAGAGATTGCTTTGATGAAGTGGCAACGCGGGGGTCGAGCAAGGACTCGTACAGAGTGCGGTAGAAACGATCGCCGGAGACTTGGTTAGACACCGTGAGCTGTTGAATCAGCATGAGCGCTTGGATGCTCGTGTTGAAATTCGAGGAGTGTGTAATACGGAACAATGTGTCGAGGTGCTTCGACATGCTAGTAGGAGTTAGTACATTGCATGGAGGAATAGAGTGTAAAGAAAGACATACCGTTCGGAATCATTGTCAGTGAAGGGATAAGCACGGTTAACACCAGTCAAGACACCGGAGATCAGCTTCTCCCGCATTTCGTCGTCCTGGGCCTGTCCCTTAGCAGTATCGTCGTTGCCTTTGGTCTTCGGTCCTTTTCCGTGCTTGTTGTATTTCCCCTTGGGGGCAGGCTTGCCCTGGTGGGAGGGCTTCAAAAGCACGAGGAACAGTCCAAAGTAGATGTCCAGCAGCTGAGCAGCCACCTTTTCTTCCTTAAGTCTCAAGATGGTCTGGTTCAGAGTGATAACAGCATAGTACTTGGCGTGGGAGCTCTGGCCAGGCCGGAACAACACTTCTTCTACTGACTTGATGATGATTGGCTTCATCATAGGATGTGACTGCATGAGTTGCAGCAACAGGTATGATGCCCGAGAGGCAATCTTCTTGCCCGGGTCTCCGAGTTTATTAACCAAAAGTCGCAGAAGATTGGTCTCCTGCTCGGGCTTCTCCTTCAGAAGTTCGTAGACATAACTGACGGCTCGAGTTCGTGAGAATTCGATCTCGTCATTACACCAAATCTCGAGAATCTTGATGACTTCGAAGAATTGATCTTTTACAATGTTTTCAAAGGCCCACACGATCAACTCGCTCTTCTTCAAACCACCCGGAAGAGGGTCTTTCTCGTTCCACCGCCCACCGGCACCTTGGAATGCTGCGACGAGCCCAGGCTGATTGGTGAAAGACTTCAGTCGTCGGTCGCTGGGCAGCAAGGTACCCTGTGCGAACATATCCTTCAAGGATCGCAGAACTTCAACTGCCTGCGCACGGCTACGCTTCTTTCCGAGACCAATCAAAGTCTCCAGTGCCTTGATGTTGTGCAGGGGAGACTCTTGAATGTTAAGAGTCAAGGCGGAAATTTTATCGCTCAGGGTACCAGACGCCATGATGGTCGAGTAGAACTTGTGTGAAGAAGAAGCAGAGGCTCTCTGGGCTGCCGCATACTCCTCATTTTCTTCCTGTAGCAATTTGTTGGCAAGCTCGTGAACGCGCTCCATCAGGTGGCGGGGCAAAGCGTTCATATGTTTCGTGTCGGCGGCGGCGGAGGGCATAGGGATATTGTACCAATCGGACCGAGGAAGAACATTCTATAGTGATCACGTTAGCAGAAGCGTTGCGGTGCTACACTGGTCCACAACTTACCAGCTTCAAATACTCCTTAGGCACAACAGATTCAGCCTCTTTTGTCTTAGGAGCGGGGGCTTCCTCAATATCGGATTCCGGCCCGCTGCTCTCTGCATTGTCTTCGCTGTCCTCGAGATCATCCTCGCTCTCTATTTCCTCTTCGTCGTCTTCGCCTTGGTCTTCTTCGACTTCGTCATCCGCTAGATCCTCGGGCACGACGTGGCCTGAAGCCTCCAGCATACTAGAGAGCTGCTTCCGAAGATCATCATCAACCTTGCCAGACTCGCCCTCAACCTCAGACTCAGAGTCGACCCCAGCAAGAAGATCAAGATCCTCCTCAGTACCACCCATAGCTAGAATTTCTTGGCGCAGTGTTTCGTCGTCGTTGCTCTTCTTGCCCCCTTTAGGGTTTTCTTGCTTGTTCAATCCACCCTTGTTCTGCTCGCGAGCAATCACCTCGCCGTTGCGATCCCGCTTCTTGCCTTGCGTAGAATCCTGAGGCCGGCCGGGCTTGGCGGAAGATTGCTTTCCTTTATTTGCGGAAGCATTGGCAGCAGGGGCTGATGGCTTTGTATTATCCTTCTTGCCCTTCCCGGTGCTCTGATTCTGGTTCTTCAATCGCTGTTCGATTTTCTGTCGTAGGCCTGCGAAGGCGCTCTCGTCCGGCATAGATGGCGTAGTTTCGGCAGCGGGAGCTGAGACGCTCGACGCAGGGGCAATCTCATTTGCGCCGGAAGAGCGCTTTCCTTTCCCTGCAGCCATGGTGTGTTGTGTTTGGGGCTGAATGATGGAGGAAAGAAAATTAGACGGAGAAATCTTTTGCGGCGGGTTATCGGGGCGCTCGGACCAGCGCGATAAGAAACATCGGAGAATAGGCACTCGACTTGCTCTACAATTTATTTTGTGTTTAGCCAGCAGTTCAATCACGGAAATTATAGCTTTTGACGCCCTGAAGTATCTTGATCGATGATCTCTGGGTTAAGGCCTCTATCAGGGCGCATAGCCGGGCGGCGGCTAGCGTTGAGCCTGCGCGTTCAGCAATGCAATCTTCACGTACGCGCTCCGAAAGATCGATTGAATGTGCTTGATAGTGAGTACTGACTCGATATAGGTTGATGGCAGAAACCGTGTTTCAAATATCTGGATCCCTACCGGTGGAATTTCTAAGAAGCCCGTCGATGGTGAAAAGGGTACGCCATCTGGCATCTCGATAGGAATTGACTATCACCAGATGTTAACAGAGATCTAGAGGATGCCAACGACCTGCTAGTCCGAGGTGGCTTTCTCCGACAGGTGAGCAGTCACGTCTTTATATCCGAGTAGCTGTCTCTGACGGCCTTCCAGGCATATTCTGGAGTGTTCCATTTGCTCCCACTTGGTCTACGTGTCCAAGATAAGCTAGAACGTCTGATTGACAAGCATATGCGCTCACTTGGTATGGGATATACCATTTGTTTATCATGGAGTGGCAGCTAAATCAAATCTAGGCGCATCCAAGGTTTCTTTGTCTTCAATATCCTCGCAAGAGCTCTGGAAACAGTCCGGCAGACTGACCGAAGGCTCAGAAGTAGGTTTCACACCCAATGTCTCGGATAATGTCGCTAACATGTATCATAGCTGTTCCGATTCAATGATCGGAAAGACACTCCATTTCTGTTGGCCCCAACGCACGAGGAAGAAATTACAACACTTGTGGGGAATCTGACAACCTCATACAAGAGCCTGCCTCTACGGGTGTATCAAATCTGTGAGAATTTTTCTTTATTTATTGTTTGTATACCTCACTAACGCAATCATAAATGAAGCACGAAAGTACAGAGATGAGGCCCGGCCCAGACAGGGACTGCTTCGTGGGCGAGAGTTTATCATGAAAGACCTCTATACATTCGACTACAGTGTCAGCGAAGCACTAAAAACATATGATGCAGTCAAACATGCCTATACACAATTATTTAATGAGCTCAAGATTCCCTACCTAGTCGCGGCAGCAGACTCGGGGAATATGGGCGGCTCATTGAGCCATGAGTACCACTTCATCAGTCCGAAGGGCGAGGACGAGGTGGTCAGCTGCTCGCACTGTGACCATGTCTATAACGAAGAACTTGCAGATGGCAAGACGCACAGCTTTGAGGAGCCCGAACAGAACACGGCACCTGGCTTCCAGACGGATGATGCACCTGTCGAAGGTGGACCAACAATCTCAACCGGCATGTGGATGGCCATCTCTCATGATAGCAACACCATCGTGCGGAGCTGGCACCCCAAGTTCTCAATGCAAAACGGCGCGACAGAGCCCGTTGAGCGTCATATCAACTCACACGCCGTCAAGGCGGTGGCGACCGCCGCTGGTATTGACCTCGATCTGAGCGTGGAGAACCCCCTAGAACGATGGACCGCCCACGTAAAGGCAAACAAGTCCTCCACGTACAAGCCGCGTGTGTTGGATCTATACGACTCGCAGGTTCGGGTATACCAGCGCCCGCCGCTAAGTGATCTTCTCCAGCAAGCTGGCTGCACACCCTCGGATATAGATTACTCCAAGCTTGACCGATTCCCTGGTACTTCCAACAAACTCAGCCTTGTCCGAGTGCACGACGGAGACCAGTGCTCGCAGTGCGCGCATGGATCGTTAACTAGCCATTCTGCCGTGGAACTAGGACACACATTCCACTTGGGAACGCGGTACAGCAAAGTCCTCAATGCGTCTGTTTCTGTCAACTCTGCTCTTCTAGAGGAATCTTCGGATTTAGGAGCGAGATCTTCTGCCAAGGAACAGATAGTGCCCATGCAGATGGGATGTCATGGTATCGGCGTCTCGCGTATGATCTCCGCAGTGGCGAACCGACTCGCTGATTCCAAGGGACTCAATTGGCCGCGTGCTATGGCGCCCTACGAGGTTGTCGTGGTCTCAGGAAAGGGTCTGGAGACCGTCGCGGATCAGGTGTATGATAGTCTTACCGGCGATACCGCCGCGCCTGTCGATGTCATCCTCGATGACCGGGATAAGGGTATGGGCTGGAAACTTGGCGATGCAGACTTGATTGGCTACCCCATTATTGTTGTCGTTGGGAATGGGTGGAAGAAGAAGGAGACCTTGGAAGTCCAGTGCCGCCGACTGGACGTGAAGGAGGATGTATCGTTGGAAGGACTGCGCACATTTGTCGAGTCTTTGTTGGCGAAATTGTGAATGGCTGGAAGTGACAGTATGTAATATTAGCAGCTCAATTTGTACATTATCTCATCCCCGATCCTATAAGTATATGCTATCCGCTACTGCACAGTAGCGGTGTAGTTAATAGGGCGTCAGGTTCTCGATCATCTCCAATTAACGCATGAAATAAATAAGGTTCAATGTCCACTTTTTCTCCGGACTTCACGTTTTCCGTAGTGATCGACTCTGGAGGTCTCCCCGAGGTTTCCACGCCGAACACTCCGGTCCGAATACTCCGGTCTATCTTACTCCACCCGCCGATATATAGAAATGGCCCTGACTCATTCAAAGGGCAAATTGATTCTATCTTTTTAGCTCATGTTAGATTGCATTCATATCTGCTATTCCAATTCATTACCTACCTTCACGACTTAATCTAAGCATCACACCATGCACAAGACCAACATCCATATCCCAGGCCTCGGCGGATCCAATGCCTTCACTCGGACTCTGAGCAAGGAAGACGTGAAGATCTGCGTAGCTGTCGAAGAAGCCTTTACAGAGCCAGAGCGATGCTCCGAGGAAAAGGTAAGCCAAAGCCAGAGCCCGAGCCAACCGAGCAGTTCCCAAGATTGCTATTTCTGACACGGTCCAAGTTCTGCTATCGCCTGGGGGCATGCCCGGAGCTATGTCTGGGACTCTTTGTTGAGAACGAGCAAGATCCAGCTTCACCTACACTCATTGGACATGTCATTGCAGTCCGCTCTCCTTATACACGTATCACCGACGGGTCGATGGCAATGCCGGAGAATTGGCGATCACTGGATGATGAGCCTGTCTTTGTTAATGATGAGTTAATCGGGAATCATAAGTATGGTGATAGCATTGCAATTCACTCTGTTGCTATTTCGCCGGAGTATCAGGGCAAGAAGGTCGGGAGAGCTCTCGTCCGGGCGTACCTTGAGCATCTTGGGAGGGGATGTTTTGGGGCGAGCAAGGTTGTGCTTATTGCGCATGACTACCTGGTGAACTTTTATGAGAGTGTTGGGTTCAAGAACCAGGGGAAAAGTCCGTCTAACTTTGCAGGTGGTGTTTGGTTTGATATGGTACGTCTATTCCTGGTGTGGCTAATGATCGTCCACTGCTGATATAGGTTTACTAGACTTTTGATCTGGAGTAATCTCGATTTTTGATTTGATTTCTCGCACTACAACCGTATTATACAGGATTCAAGGGACTTTACAGGCAACAAGGAAGGTGACACCTAGAATAAAGATAGCGTTGAGAATAAATATAGAATTCTTTGGGATGCAGTTTCTTCTAAGTCGACCAACTGTTACTCACGTCCTCTGTAAACACCAAAATCGAAGTTTAGTACTCATCATCTCTAAGGTAGTCAATAGGCCGGATTGACTCTGGGCTGGATAGTGTCTGCTGGCTTCCATACTACTTGGACCCCTCTAGAGTGCCATTCAACCACCTCAAATCTTCTAGGTCAATCACCACAAAGGATTGTGACATAGGATTCCACAGCACGTTACGGAGGGCTGCATCTTTCTGAATGACTCCATATTCTTAAAGTGTGTCCTCAAGTTTCCGCATCTCCTGTTCAAGGTACTGACACATATCAAAAGTTACCTCTAGATCCGTTCGGATTCCAGACCAGCTGAGCAGCAGCATGTAGTTCATTTTAACCCCATAATACCAATATGGGATCTTAGGTGAAAGCATTCCATGACATACAGAAATTTGAGATCCCTGCAATGACACCGGATTCTGGTATGTGCTCAATTCAGCATGGATCCTGTGCGACTTGCTGGTGCTGGTAGGCTTGATCGACGTCGTGTACCCATGAGACAGCAATGTAGCTTTTAATAGGAGAACTCTCGACGGATATTTCCTTCCAGGTGTCCATTTGAGTGTGACTTTTGTTCACGAAGTCCACCCTGTGGGAGCATTGACCCAGTCTGTCCTCGGAGATGGCTTGGCCAAATGAAACATAACGTAGTACTTATCATGCCACTCTTCGTTTGTATCAGTACGGCCCGCGCGTGAAAACCCTGAGAAATGCATAATTGTTGTCAGCTTGTAGTGTTCGCTACTCAACAACGGATAGAGCGTACATATTCCCGGTAGCCTTATCATAGATGATCTTCGATGGGGTTGGCATACGCGGTAGGTAACCATGCTTCTTCAGCTTTCTGATTCTCATGTCAATTAAGAGCACGCCAGGCAGAGAGTTCTGTAAACTTACGGAAAGGCTTCACGGAATTTATCACGGATTGGTTTGCGTGACTCAAGATCTAGCTCCCAGAATCCTTGAAAGCTTAGAGGCTCCCTGGGGACTTTATCCCAGACAACATAAGTCATATAACCTCCCGGAACGATACTATCTTCGCCTTGCTTTCCCTCCCGGTGAGCGAGGAGGTCAGGGACAACATCACATTTCAATTCCTTGAGCGCTTTCAATGTCCTCAACTCAACGTGCAGCTGTGGCTCAGCAGCCTGCTGTCGTCGAATCCGAGAGCTCTGATATTGAGTGCCACTGATAGGAATTTGAAGATAAATTCGCATAAAAGCCTGCTTGCTAGAGTTTTCCTTGCGATGACAGAGAAACTTAGCAGCTGCGAACGAAGGTCCATGGCCATTGGTAACGGCCTGCTGCGTCATCCATTGAGATCGTCCAGAAAGCTTGTTATCGATCACCCATGTTTGGCGGGGCAGGTGGAGAGCCGTGTGCCTTCGAGGCCGCACAGGAACTTAGCAGTTTCGGGATTCTTCATGCTGCCTTGATGAGTTTTGCAACGATGGACGATGGATGAACATGTATTATTGGCGAATGAAAGCCTAGTAAAGCTGGCTTTTGGATGGGAGAGAAGAAGACGAGAGTTGATGGAAAAGTGATCACATAGAGTAAGAGACCTCCACTAAGCCAAATTGGGAAAGCTTTATGCCCTGTTTGCCGGGTATCAAAATCAGTGGACTAACTCGTTCCGGCTAGTTTTTAGCAACCATTGTACGCCCTTTTTTTTACCTACATGTACCTGATATAGGAATGATATCACTGCCTCAATAGTCATGGAACAACACTAGAAATGTATTCTGCATATGTAACGACCGGAATTATTGCAGTTGCCACGTTGGTCACTCTACCTCATAGGGTAGGATAATGAAAATACTAGTTTACCAGTTGATAAGAAAGGCATCAACCCCAACCAGCAGTCGCAGTGTGAAGATATCCAGCACGTAGGACTCTGTGAGCAGTTACCTGACCCTGTCGCCCAGTGCAATAATTGGTGGTGGTCGCTCGATATTCTGTCTGAAGATATATCGCCTGATCCACCAAGGAAGCCACACAGTTAGTTCGTAGTGAATGAACTTCTTGGTCGGCACTGAGAAAACCTCTGCAATATATGTTAGTATATATTGTCATAGAGATTCAAGTTACTTACGATCCAATTCTTCTAGAGTTAGCTGCTTGGTCTCCCTCACGAAGCAGAAGATCATAAACCAAGCGAGGAGGTTAAGACCAGCATAGAAGCCAACTAAAGCGAGGGTTAGCAATTTGGGACACAACGGCCCAGAAATTGGCAACTTACATGCACCAGTTTTGGTCATCACAGTCATCATTCGAGGGAAAGTCAGACTGAGGACGCCAGCTGGAGAAGATTGTGTTAATGGAATGTTCGGTGGATTGGACGTTCGCAATACTCACCAAAAGTGTTGTTGATGCAAACAGCCCACGCCATTCCTTGTTCTCGCTGAATGGTCGGGAACACCTCAGCAGAGTATTGAAAAGCGACTGGTCCTTCACCTAAGGAGTAGGCAATAGTAAACAGATACACAAACCTAGCAGCAGATATAAATTAGCCTATGCTCAGACAAAGTAGAAAAGTTACCAGGCTTACAAGGCCACTGGTGCAATCATCGCGGCATGGTTCTCTGTCTTGTTCAAAAGCGAAAGACCACCGGCTAGCAAGAAGATGCACATGAAGGGGAAAGTCTTCGTAAGAACGATAGTCAGCAATATTCCACAAGAAATTCCGGCATGACTCACAATCAAAGTCAGGGTTCTTCGGCCTTTGGTGTCGATCAGGAACAAAGTAGGAATGGTGGCCACGACCTGGATAGCACCGTAGCCAAGAGAGGCATACAAGGCCTGGTCCTCTGTGTATCCGACATCCCGGAAGATGGTAGAGCTGTAGAAAGAAATGACTAAAAGGTGTCAGCGATGGCTACTCTCACGAGACGAGACACAACTTACTGTTGATACCGCACATTTGCTGCGCAATCATAACAGTCGAGGCACCGTAGTTAGCCCGTCTGATCCTCGGGACGGCAAAACAATCCCACAGACGGGAGAAATAGCCTGCGCCACGGGCTTCCTTGAGTTCCTCTTCATAGATAACGTATGAATAATAGAAGTCTCTCGCAGCGATGATTGGATGAGCTCGCAAGCGCAACATCGACTGGAACCCTTCAGCGTGCCTGTTATGCTTCATAAGCCAGCGAGGCGACTCGGGACAAAAATAGATTCCAGCACCGAGGATGAAAGATGGGATAAATGCGGAACCAAGTTGGAGACGCCAAGCGATATCTTTGACGTCTTTGACAATAACGTTGGCAGCAAAGCCCAAGAAAATACCTGTGCTAAAGGTTAGCCATCTTTGTCGACGAGGGACGAGCGATACTCACCTGCTACGACCCAAAGTTGCCAGAACATGACAAGAGCACCTCGAGTTCTGGCCGGAGCCATCTCAGCCGAGTAGATCGGCACCGTAGCGTTCTTCGCACCGATGCCGATACCCATCACAAATCGCGCAGCGAAGAGTCCTTGCCATGACTGTGCGAAACCAGAGCCAATTGGCGTGGCAGTGAGACAGAGAGCAGTGACGAAAATCTCACCTCTTCGGCCCAGATAGTGGTTAAGTGGATCGACAATCCAAGCACCACTATGTACAAGGTCAGTCGCGAGAAATAGAAGGAAAATGCTCTTCAACGTGCCATACTTACATGAGACCAGCGGTCAAGAAGATGATCGAGTTGACGATTCCCACAATCCATTCATCCTTTCCTTTACCGTCAATACCAAATTCCTCGTGGAAGGACAAGTTGGCACCGTTGGATCCAGTTTGATCCCAGCCTTGTGTGGCGGCTCCGACAGCACACAGACCGATTGAGTACCAGAGCATAAACGGACCGTGCCATTTATGGTCCCTCTCGTATGTGAGCGCGTCGCGCTCCTCTTCGTCAATCTCGGAGGCCGATGGGAATTCGTTGGGGCTCCGCGCAACCACAGCAGCCCGACCAAATAGATCAGCGTACTCGCTCATGTTGTGCGACTCGGCGTACGCCCGGGCATCGATAACAGCCTGCGCCTTGGAGCTGCGCTATATCCACAAAGACAAAGTTAGCTTTCATACTCGACACTACCATCAAAGATAGGGGCTTTAGTTGTAGCTTACCATCAACGGATTCTGAACGATGTTGACACCGATAGCCTGGCGGCGCTCAGGTGCATCAGGGTCGGCCGCCTCATCCAGTTCTATTTTCTTAGCCTGGGCCACATGCTCAGAGTGAGGAGCCTCCTTAGATGACTTTTCATCCATGATGGGGAGCTTTTTTTGGTAGCTTTTCAGATTCAGGAGATCTCTGCTCTTACGATGCAAAAAAGGTTTGGGGAAAAGATTGGCTACCCCACAGAATATAAAAAGAGATCAAACTTCCCCCCCGTGGGGTGACCACAGCTGCAGATCAAACCCAAAGTGACCTTGTGGCTTTGTCCAAGGACGGCAGCATTGGACCAGCCGTCAGCACTAAGACGCTAACGGGGATCATAGCACCTGGCCAAGTTACAGGGAGCACACCATAATATTACATTGTAGGTTGAGACGCCACCGACAATTAAAGTGGTAAATTAAAGTAGTGGTAAAGGGAGGCTAGAAAGAGTGTAGCGCAGTCTTCGGATTTTAAAATCCCCAAATCTGACAATAGTCATCGATCACCGCTGAATCGACCATGTCAAAGCGGATGCGGGGGAGAAGGATGATCATGAAGGCCAAGCCTCGGCCTTTTGAGTCATGCGGCATACAACGTGTTAAGGGAATAAACTAGAAACTATAACCTTGTAAAGTACGTTTTATTACAGGCTGATTGGCCGTTTGTCTCCCGTAAGCTGAAAAGGAGGTGAGTCTCAGATTCGGATTCCTGCATCTGCGACATCCATGGAGATGACGAAGAACGTGTAAGACTGCAGTCAGCATCGGATATACCCGGATCACATGATGCCGCACAGCCCTTGTCCATTCAGCCGCGGAGTCATGACGTTCGAGATGATGTATGACTAGTTATATTCTAGAATGAAAATTTAAATACTATAGGGCTTGGATCCTTTTCTAAAATCTATTGCGAATATTGGTCTTCGATGATCCAGCAGAACATGGAGCCATCTTGTTCTGAAGCCGATTACATGATTATAGGTGCTCACCTGGGCATGTGGTGGGCTGACAAGGTGCATGGTTGCCTCGCGCCTTGAGCAACGGAACCCGTCCGTCAGCATCCTTGTCCTCGAGGCGCACAGTGACCCTTCTACGAGTCCCGATGTCCAGACCTTCCCAGAACTCTTCTCTTGCTCGGTTCGGACCTTTACTCGACCTATAAGACCCAGCCCCAGCCCAAAACTGAGGACCGAGTACACGAGATCCACGCCACGCTTTGAAGGGGGAAACATGATCAACTTTGGTGGCTGGAGCTGGGGCGATGCAGCCGACTCTACTGACTAGGCTAGAATAGTCGGACACAAGCGATGGAGTCAGAACGGGTTGCCTCCCTAGTCCGGAAGAACTGAGCCATTCTTCGACACTGAAGCATATCTCAAGAAACACGGGTTTGATGGTCCATTTCCATATCACCTCGGCCTCTGAGAGTGATCCCAAGCGACGATATCCTCTTCGGGGGCCAATGAAAGAGGTATGGAGTGGGATTGGAGTTCAATATAGGCGAGATGGCCGCTCAGGGAATAGATATGGTGTCACTAAGTTGAGTAGGGGCTCTTGCCGAATCCATTGTTCATCGACTTGAGCTCACCGATGACAACCCACAAAAGGCTGTTTTTGGGATGAAATTAGTAGATGGTCGGCGCTTTTGTGCATGGAAAGAGGTCACCGACACTGCCGCGATGGGCAAGATGGTTAATCCGGACCTCCGTGTCTATAGAGTTCAGAACCCTCGCGTCCTGGATGTGAGTATCTCGCATGTAAGCATTGGGCATTACCCGTAAGCTACTCTGGATGCTATGGAAGAGCCGGCTGTGGATATATCGTATCCTAGACGATTGTCAAATTTTGCCTTGTGCGCCTCTTTGCTTCCATATTTTGTCCCATATCGAGTTGCAGTTTAGGCGGCTGCCAATAATCAAGCTGAATGTTGTTCCATAAAGCACGGACTAGCAAAGTCAGAAGCTATATGCAAATATTCTATCACCTTTGGGATCATCCTCTTTGCGGTGATGGCAATTTTTGTCTGTGTGGAGGGCTTTTGATAGATTGATATCGTGAAAAGCAAGGTTGAACTTCATTCCCAGTCTTGCTTCAAGAGTTCGGTTTGTTCCCTTTGTTTCTAAATGGGGATTCTAGTTACTTTCTCTTCCTTTGTTTCTATATAAGCAAAAACAATAGGTTGCAAGTAATATTGTTGATTGCCTTATAGTTGATAAAGGTCCTGTTTGGATTTGCCGAATATCTCAATCAATGAATCGCTTTGTTCTCGAAGGGCTTCCTTCGACAAGAATATGTCCCTTTGTGTCTCCCAAAATACATAGACCATGCTTGCAATAATCTAGCAAGTACAAATAGCTTTTTGAGTATTTAGTAATCGAGTTACTCCACCTAAACCATCATAATTTCCAACAAGCCAACGATGCAATAAAACAAGCCAACAGTTCAATAGTCTAACCGTCTAACAGTCCAATCTAACGGTCCAACATCCAACAAAATCACTTCTTGTCAATATCAGCATCATCCAATATGGCTCCAAAACCCATAGAATTTAAAATGGATATGAGCCCAAAGTATGAGAAACCAATTTGGGAATCACTTGGTATCGATCTGGCCTCGAACAGTGCAGATAAATCAGCCGTCATCCACTTGATTCGACAGATCTACAATCCCATGTTGCACGACTCTCTTCAAAAGGGAAGTGATTGGAACTCGACATTTAAAGGTAAGCTGGGATTCGAAATAAGACGCAGGCTCACCGATAGGCAAAACGATTTGCCAGCTTTAGTTCGTGCTCATGTCCCAGATCCAGAGGCACTTACCCAGTGTATGTTCAATGTCCTTCGATATTACCGCTTCACTGATCCTTCATGGAGAGTCGTCAATTCTAATTATCCTATTGTTGAAGATGTCCCTCTACCTGCTCCTGCAGGTGGCCTTGCACCTCGCCCTCCTGCTCCTACTCCTACTCCTGCTCCTGTTCCTGCTCCTTCTCCTGTTGATAGAAGTCTCCTTATCGCTGCTCCTGGCCGTCTCCTTGCTCCTGGTCCTGGCCCTGGTCCTGCCCTTGCCGCTGCCCCTGGCCCTATTCGTGCTCCTCCTATTGATGATGTTCCTTCTTCTGTTCGTCTTCCTTCTTCTGCGCCTGCTCGTGCTCGTGCTCGCCCTCGGCGTCAGCCTCAGCCTCGTGCTCCTACGCCTGCTCCTGCGAGTGCCCCTAGCCCTGCCCCTACCCCTACTCCTAGCCCTGGCCCTGCTCCCACTCCGGCTCCGGCTCCTAATCCTATTCCGACCCCTGCTCCCGCTCCTACTCCAAATTTGTATCTCGATGAGCGAGACACAGCGCTAATGACAGCGCTAATCGGCGCTGGATACGGACCCCAGCTACCCGAGACAACATCTCCTGCTCCCGCCCCTACTCCAAATTTGTATTTCGATGAGCAAGACGCAGCGCTAATGACAGCGCTAATCCGCGCTGGATACGGACCAATCGACACGACATCTTCTGCTCCCGCTCCTACTCCAAGTTTATATTTGGATGAGCAAGACACAGCGCTAATCCGCGCTAGATACGCAGCTCAGTGGTCTCCCAACCCACCCGACACAACATCTCCTGCTCCGGCTCCCGCTCCCGCTCCTAGCCGTCTCCGTCTCCTTGCGTCTGCCCCTGCTAGGACTCCTGCTCCTGCTCCTACCCCTGGTCCTGTCCCTGCACCTCCCGTTGATAGATGTCTCGTTATCGCTGCTCCTCCCCTGGCTCGCGTCCCTGTTACAAAGACTGCCACGGGGCCAAATGCTAATGATTCAGGTGAGGCTCCTACTGATACTGCAGCTCCTCTCAGTGACTCTCTCGCCACGTTTGCCCTCACTCCTACTCCTGGTCCTCAAATCCAACCTAGCATTAGTCTCCATCCAGATCATGCTCTCTTTATTGCAACAGAAGAACTCCACGCCCCTATCCTAGATGAACTACAAGATGGCTACTATGTGACCGATCCTACGGAAGCCCCATCTCCACCTCGCACTGACCTAGATGTTTTTCGCACCTACTATTGAACGTGAGAATCGCAAGCGTTCTAGGGACAATGAGCAAGAGGGATCGTCTTCCCCGCCACAAAAGAAGCAGTCTGAATGGACAGGTTTGACCACGCTAGGTGATTCTTCTTCAAATGATGAACCAGAGCTGGATGCTGCTGGCGATATCCTGATGGATGGTCAAACGTATAAGCCTTATAGGATTAAGAATAAATCTGTTGAACCAGAGAACAACGTGTGGTCTACGATGCGAGGTTATCTCGGTCGTATGGGCCGCGGACATACTTCACCGGAACAAGATAAGCAGCTCTAGGAGGGTTCGGAAATGGGTGAGTGATCTAGTCGACAATGATTCAAGACAACCGGGGTGTATGGATATAATATACGAACACAAACGGTGATTATGATATATAGACAATGCCAAACTTCGGCATCATCGGTCTTGATTTTGATATACTACTTGATGTATGGTAGACTGATTTTATTGTCAAGCTTCGATTAGTTAATAAAAGGAATATGCATTCTTTTCACTTGCTTACTATGTATGATTAAATATTTATAAGGTCGTTTTTGTACATGTATCCAGGGTGTTTGAAACAATTCCATGTCCGATGATGAATACCGTAGTGAAGATTTGATAGTCGAGGCCTACATACTAGTAACAATTATTCTTTTCATTGGGTGCATCTTGTGGTCAATTTATCTATTTTGCTTTCTCCTGACTACAACACCGAAAAGAGACCTCAAGGAAGACATCCAAACACATCTTCAATATAATAACCTCGGGCCAATGGACAGAGGTTGTATAGGCGCCTGACTACACTCGTGTCTGTACATTTCCAAAGTCATGTCTTATATTGCCTTGTCTTCAATGTTCTTTGTTGGATGGAATTTCAGTGGTGTCAACGCCATACCTAAGCAATCGATAATTTCGTCATACATTCTTCCAGTAAATCACTGTGTTTATCTACTATATTGCAGGCAAAGTAGGGTCCGAAGCCAACAGAGAAGGATGATACGCGAGGTTCTCCCAAAAGTCCGTCTCGAAATCACACAGATCCTGGCTGAAAAATGCAGCCCAATCGCCATTCTCTCCTAGATGCGATGGCAGTTGCGTCGGGGATTGTATCCCTTCACGGTGTATAGAATCAAGGAAGCGCTCAATCGTCTGTGTCGCTTTAGATACCAAGGCGTAGTTCGGATCTCCGCGCCGAACGATACTTCCAACCTGCACCTGCGCAACAAAGATACCGAGATTGAGTATTGTTTTGGACCATGAGGATCTTGCTTCCGTTAATGTGCGGTGTTGTTTCAGCATTGAAAGGAGGATAATCCCTGCGGCCGGGAGGCCGAAGTGGGCGATCTGACAGGGGTTTAGTTCAGTAATTAAAGATTTGAATAGATAGAAATACCTTCCAAACGAGTCCAGTTCCAGAGTTGACCAGTTGATCTCGTAAAAGAATGGTGTCCACTACAAGAGACAGCATTTGATCCGAGATGTCAAGTATAGATGGATCGGGCTCGGTCAGCGTATCAAGAAACGACAATTGAAGTAGGAAAAGAACATGTAGTTGGTCCAGGCGTATGCTAGCTAGAAGGTCGCGTTCGAATGCATCCCCATGGCATTCTTTCAAAGTGCCCGAAAGCCGGAAGTGAGGGGGTAGGTGCGCCCATTGAGTTTCAGCTTTTTGCCGGATGATGCTAGATCAAACACTAGAGTGAGCCAGAGTATCCCATATTACATGGCTTTATCTTACCTAGCTTTCTGGTTGAAATTCTCGCGCTGCTTTGATCGAAGCAATTCGAGGACATCTTCTTTCAGCGCGGAGCAAAGCGTCGCCCACCGAATACTTGACCTATAACAGATCGGCGTATCTGTTTTCCATCTGACGACCTCGTCCCCAACGTGTGAAGTGTTCCAAACCTGATCCGAGCTTGTCGGGGTCAAAGGTACTTGGAAGTGACAGAACCGCTTGCTCATCCGAGGTGGCCGACCAAGGAATATAGCCACATTCTTATCGGCTGAGTAAGTGGTAGCCCAAGCTGTCTTGCGCAATTCTGCAAGGAAAGTCGGAATTGGTGGCCTGGTCTTTTCGACATTCTCATGGTAGCCAAGTGCAAGCATGGACGACACGACATCTCCAAGTCTACTCCACGAATGATAGCCTGCGTTCTCGATGAGCTGCAGGTTTCCACAGATAAAATCAATGGAGAACGCTTACTTTGGTCCCCATCAACATGGGTGTGTACAATAAAGTTCTCATACTGCAGAACCAGTTGTAGGTCGTTCAAGCAATCCAGCGAGAGCGCAATATCTAATGCAAGATCGCTGAGTTTCGTAGATAGCTTCCGAAGCATGAACTGATCCTTTTCGGTCTTGAACAATGGCGGGAAGAATGATATATCGATCGCTGCTCGGCTCACAGCAGAGAGAAAGATGCCTAGACTTTCCCATCGGAATTTCTGGTCGAGAAACTGGGCCGAAAAGCTTTCCATATCCGATGTGCTGCTAAACTGCAAAGGTTCCCGGGAATTTTGTGTCAGGCGTTGGGCATATGCCAGATGCCAGTTGTCTTCCTGTGAGAAGGACGTAAATAGGCGCGTCATATTTTCAGTACACTTCTCGGTGAAAGGCTCTGCCAGAGCTAGATTCGCACCCGTCGCTAGCCAAAAATTGACAAAATCCTTCATGGCGGCTAGGGGAAATGTGTTTAACAGCTGTCTGAGGACGTCCGCGCCTTGGATCAACAAGATATTCTCGCCGGTGGACTGTGACTGCATCAACATCGTCATGTCCTCGGAAGCATGGTAGGTATCGGATGCATGATAGTCCTGCGGGGAAATTTCGTTGAAAATAGCGACATGGCTGGAGGAGCCCAGAAAGCCGGGGTTTGGATAGGGATTATTCCTTGGGGTGAAAGATGGTTGGGCCGGAGGTAGCCGGCTGCAGATTCGATAAGCAGGTGGGAAAAAAGCGAATATAATTACATGTCTGAATCACATATCACATACCTAGGAGACTGCAGAGGTGTAGTGCTCTCCACTCTTCTTCTCTTGAATGGCGTCGTTCGGTATATGCATATTCCAGCTCTATCGTTACTTGCGCACCGAGTACATGCTGGTCTTTTATGATCACAGGCGACCTTTGCTTTTCTGCAAGCTTCACATGCTGCCAGTCTCGAAGCCATTGGTATGTGGTGAAGAAGGATCCCGGAGCGGAGCGGAGAACAGGGAATCGTCGGAGTGATGTCTAATTCTTCCTGATAACATTCTACCTACTTGCAGTCATGGATAATACATAGACAATGAACCGACAGCTTCCAGATGTCCTTTTAAAATATCTAGATGCTCTGTATACACTATGGGAGTCATAATTAACTCTTCGTTTATTGTCAAGTTAAAGTGAGGTAGTCAGGTGCGTGGGTATAAACGCTGTCCATTATTCTGCCTGCCAACACTTGACCCCACTATCACCACGCGTCAGACCCAGGAGTTTTTTGAAGCTCCCCCCACCGTATACACCTATACAGTCCCAATGCGAGGACCTGATCTCCAATAAAACAAAAGTCCCGATCCGGAAATTGTTCCCCGAAATACCCCATTCTACCTCCCGAACTCCAAAATGTCACAAAACGCTCAATCCTCGGACGGAGCTCCCCAAGGCTCAAGTGCGTCTCCAATCCCCCCCCCTCAGCACCAAGATGACACTGCAGCGCGGGCTTCCGACCCTCGTGTCATATAGAGATAAATTCATAGCTAACCACCTTGGAACCAGTCAACCTCGCCTCTCTCTCCGTCCCTCAGCTCCGCGCCCTCCAAACCCGTCTCACCTCCGAATTGGAGCACCTGACCACCTCGCACACGAAGCTGCGCGCCGCCCAAGCCAAGTTCCGCGACTGTGTGCGTTCGATCAATGACGGCGTGACTGGGAACGCGAAGAAGGGAACCGATGGCCGCGATGAGATCCTTGTGCCCCTCACCAGCTCGCTGTACGTCAAGGGCCGGTTGACGGATCGCGAGAAGGTGCTTGTTGATGTCGGAACTGGATTTTATGTTGAGAAGGTATGTGGCGACGGGGATAAGTCTGGGATTTTGGTGATTGGGCTGATCGGGTTAACGATTTGTTTTGTCCAGACTGCGCCTAAGGCGGTTGCGTTCTATGACAATAAGGTCAAGGGCTTGGACGCGAACTTGCAGGAGTTGGAGAAGATCGTACAGACCAAGAGCTCGCAACTGCGCATTGTGGAAGAGAGTGAGTGCCATTTCCCGGATAATAGGAGGCGGGATTCCTGTTGCCTTGTGAAGCCCCATCTGCTAACCTCTCCTACCTCTCCTACAGCATTGAGGCAGAAAATGCTCTCAGAGGGTGCTCCTCAGGCTGCTGCGGGCTAAACTCGACACTTCGTACAAATAGGTCGACTTACCATAGAGAAATCAAAATCATACACAGAGGTTATATCTCACCATTCGGAACAAACAGACTGGGGATGGATTACAAGAAGAACGAGAAGAAGAAACCATGACCACGGATCAAGGGCCGAAGGGGCTCTCCGATATTGGAAACCAGGAATAACTTCAAATATGTATGAATTGGAACTATTACTGCTACATGCCTAATGATCTCTGCTTGATAGGCAGGCCGGACGGTAGTGTTGTTGTCTTTTTCTTTGTCTTTTTTCGTTTTCTTTAGTTGGCCCTTGTGGTCCCATGAGATGTGACAATTCTGGAACCATTGTGCTGATGGACTAGAACAGACTTCCAAGATCTGTCTCAATAGTATCAGGCATCTCAGCACCTGGATTCCCCAGCATCCGCGCAATCTGCTGGACAGTGCTCATGAAAAGCCCCAGCTGCTTCTCCTCGTCCATCTTTCGGATTTCGGCCTCCTTGCGGAGCTCATCCTCGGTTTTCTGCTTTTCCGTCTGTTCCTGACCGTCCCCCGGTGGTGGAAAGAAGACGGACAGACACCCATCTTTGGAAATATCGAGAACCTTGATATCAGCCTGTTCACCTAGGATGTCATCCCAATTAGGATTAAACAATGATGCACCCCAGGACACTTTCGGGTCCATCGACCAGTGACCAGCCGCGTACGTGTACTCGTCGAAGCGGGCGAGCTCGAATACATGGGGCGAGTCTTTGACTTGGAGCTCAATTGTGGCCTTTTCGACGAAGCGCTTGACTGGGGTACCATAGGAGAACCTGGCCTTGCGCTGGGGGGCAGATCCAATGCTCTTTGCATTTGGGTTCCATTGGAAACCAATAGAACGCATAAATTTGTCTAGCTCGGGGGGTTTCTCATTTTCGGGGCAGAGTTCAAGAGCCTTCACTTCAAGTTGCCAGTCGGACCTATATTCAAACTCAGCTTCCAGTAAAATTCGGAAAGGATCCGGGATAAACAAACCTTTCAAAGTCAATCATGCTGATTTGCATTGGCATCTGACGATCAACAGGAGCACCGATCTGCTTTGATTTGAAACAACGGAGTCCGTTGACTTCAAACTCCTGTGAGCCAACAGGAAGAGAGAATTTCGCTTCCACGCGAATCACCGAGTCATTGTTCACTTGGTACTCAAAGTTGGCGGAATATCTAGGCATCAGGCTCAACAGAGACTTGATCTTGGCTTTACCCCAGGGCTTGAGGAAGGTTGATTCCATGATTCGGTCGAAGATCTCTTCTTGCCGCAACCGGATTCTAAGAGATAAGTCAGTCAGCAAACTATCAGATTCCGGTGGGGTTGATAACATACCCCGGAAGCAAACGTCCTTCGGTGTTCATATGGGTAAGCATCTCGCGAAACTCTGAGAACTCATAAGAAGTGCCATCTTTCGGCTTCCGCCACTGTTGCAATGCGAACGAACCGAACTTTGCTCGCATTTGCAGGAATCCCCGAAACTGAGGAATCACATGCAGCGCTTTCCTAAGGCGCGTGGTGACAATGTTCTTGTTGCTGAGCTTGATCTCATCCGCAGTGGCCTTCCAGGTCGCGGCTACGTCCGGGGCCAGTTCCGGCCCACAGATAACAGGTCTCGAGAGCCGACCAGACTTTTGTAGGATGACGTGAGTTCTCATAAGCTCTACGCGAGGCGCCGCAACAAGGAACAGCTTGATTTCGGTCTCGTGCTGGACCATTAGCCTCTCCCACAGCTCTCGAAATCGAGATGCAATGATGCACATATCCCGCTCATTATTTCCAGACATGAAAAGGTAGTCCGGGATACCAGGCTTGATGTAGATGTTCACGTCATATTTCAAGCGAATGAAATCGAGGAGCTCGCGCCGGCCAGTAATAAAGTAGTTCAGTGACGGGCCATCCGAGGGCCACAGGAAACCAAGCTGTAGTATTAACGGCCGGTTAGTCTTCATGAGGTCCAAAGACAAACTAGGGCTGACAGAGCGCTATTCATACCGTGTAATCCGTAGCAATTCTCGGTGGCTTTCGCATCTCGGCCAATCTTTCCTCGTGGCTTTCCCGCGTCCGGGCATGGGCAACCTTCGTATTTGAATGCGCGTGTATCTTGGTCCAACGCGATGATGCCCTAGCCGAAGTCCTCTGCTGCATTAACCGATTCAACATATCCTGGAGCAGATTCTGGGCTGCCAAAACCTGTTTTTGTCGGCCCCAGATGTGAACCAGCTTTAGTGTTATCAGTATATTGAGCCTCTCAAATGTTGGGGGATTTAAGCTGAAACTGACTTTAGCATTTCCCGCGCTCATCCTCACATAGGCACCTGTCTCCTCGATAATCCTCTGGCGAAAGTCGATATTGGAAGCTTCTCCTGAAGTTACTTGTTTAATTCTTCGGTGTTTGGGTTAGTTTAAGACCAACGACTCCAAGGCTTTATATACTCACTTTTCTTGGAACACTTGACACTCGTAAGGTAAACGATAAGAAGCTATATGGCCGTTAATTGTGGGCTTGAGGTCGATGTGAGCACACTTACCATCTGGAGAAAATCCCTTGCGCCACTTTGCCTTGGAATGAGAGTCATTTTGCCCTGGTGCGGCAGATCCTGCTGCAATAGGTCCCGGTGTGATAGGTGAATTCCTAGCTCTGTGTTGCGAAGGAGTTGAACCGCCTTTTTTTGACTGAAACCGTGCTCGCGGTGTGTCAGCATGAGCCCCCCTGAGAGGGGTACGTTGACCCGATTTAAGATTACGTGTCGCATAATGCGGCTGTCTTGCGAATGTATTGAAACTGCTAGAATTAGGCCCACGCTCGTTGAAGATTGGCCCCTCTGGTGCCTGAGCTCGACCTGGTCTGGCTCCAGTAATAACTCCTTGGACTGGAAAGGCGGTTTGGTTTGCAATCGGCGACGGTGTTGGCACAGGAGGTACACTTGAGAGGGAGCGACCAGTTACAAGCACTGTAGAAGTTGAGGGGTGCGGCGGATAATCAACTGGAGGGGAGGCATAGTTCGTATCCTCGAGGCCATCCTCATCATCATAATCGGGACCTCTATTATCCGCGTACTCGTCATCGTCCTGACGGTAGACGGTCCCCCGGCCAAAGTCTGGACCGGGGCCGTAGTTAGGCAGTTCCCATGCTAGCTAAGTCAGTACGTACATCAATAAGTAAAACAAAGTTTATCTCTCACATTTGGCGTTGAGACGCTCCCAGCTGGCAGCATGGATTAGCGGAATGCACTTGTAAGTATACGTATGTGAGATATACTTACTCCGTCTCGTAGGACTGGGGTGGAGACGCCATTTCAATGGAATCAGATAGCCACTGGTGTTCGATAACCAAAGTGGTGTCTCACAGGATGGATCGTTTGGAATGAACCAAGCCGAAAGAGGGCGACACGGTTATCTCAGGAATATTAAACGGGTAAGTGAAAAGAAAAGAAGATGTACTACGCCGCTCCTTGTCGACAAAGGTGCGATTGAACTGAACAAAGATCGATTGACGGGGGCGAGTGTGTCGCAACCTAAGGAATGTTACCCAGGTGGAAAGTAGAAAGTAAAAGAAAGATAAGGGTAGAAGTGGAGAGCCCAAAAGCTGAGAAAGGGAGAGGAGAGGCGAGAGATGAGGCCGAAGTGTAGCTTCTTGACTGGGAATTATCGAAGAGTAAGAGCATTCACCCATTCTTGCCTAGGGTGAACCGCGGTTATTGATTACATACACGTATGAAATCTTCGGCATTGTCCATGTATACCTAGACGTAGGGAACATGGAACCGGTCCAATACCTCGTTTTCTCGGTGCAATGAGAACATATTGATGGATCAAGACGCCCCAAAATCAAACTTCCTACGATAATCATGGACCTTGGTCTTGTATTAAAGGTTGACTGTGAGGGATAAAAGAGGCACATTGCATTGCAATTTGAGATTAACGCAATACAATCCATCTATAGTGCTCAGAGATCAAGTTAAAACAAATCCAGTAGGGAGTATATAGATCTGATCAACTGAGGTGTCGTTAGATGCCGCTGAATGTTAGGGTTCCGGAATAATATTGTTCCTATTTATCTGGATAATCTTATCAGCAATCTTGAACCGTCTGGCGAGTCGTGATCAACATTTTTCAATGACTTAGTAACATTGCAAATGAATGAGAGAAGTTGTGAAATAGCATATATCACTATAGTCTAAGGCTGGCTCTTCAAAAGTGGTTTGGAATTGTATAGAACGTTAGTAGGTAAACTTCAAAAAATGCGATATTTAGGGGAGCATAACGAGCAAATCACAGCACAAATCACAGCACACCGTACTACATCCATGGATAGGCTAGATGCTTGCCATATTGCACTATCACAGTGGGTGTAAATTGGACAAGCTAATAGAATTTATAACATGCATTGTGCATATCTACTTCGTTTATACCTGCAATGTACCAGAGGTAGATGGATTTTATTGGCCAGACCTCCTTGCTAGGCTAAACCTAAAAGGGACGAAAGTGGACAACGCGTCAAGCGCGGTTTCTCCTTCGTTGCATCTTCGGTTCAATCACATCTCTCGCACTCCCAATGAGCGATAGCGATTCAGACTCTTCTCCTCAGAGGCGCAGTGCCCGTGAGCGCGCCCAATGGATGACCAAGGGAGCTCTCGTCCGAGACGACTCCGATGATGAACTAGGCGTCGAGGACCTTCCGTGGAACTGGATTTACGACACAAGTGAAGAGGCTCCGCAGGAAACCGAGACCAACGATGATGCCCCAGCGAAACGCAGCCGAAGACGATCCTCCCGTCCCGCCCGCCAAAAACGCAAAATCGTTGGCGCACAGATGGGTCAATTCCAATGCAAAGTGGGCGATGTGATTCTCTTAAAATCCCCTGAAGCTGGAAAGGACTGGGTTGGTATCGTTACAGAGTTTTTGGAAGAGGAGGACGAAGACGAAGAAGACGAGATTGTCAAATCTGCCAATATTATGTGGTTCGCATCCCCCGACGAATTCATGGGCACGAGGAACAAGCGCCGGACCGACGCCTTGCCCAACGAACAGTACATCACACTCGATTTTAACAGCAACCCCTTGACATCAATCAGCGGCAAAGGGACGGTCATGTCTCAGAGCGCCTTCAGTGCTAAATACCCGAATGGACCTCCAAAGAACAAGACCGAATTGGCGGAATACAACAAGTGCATTGTTTGTCGACGAGGCGTGAACCAGGTTCAAGGACGGTATACCGATGAGTTCATATGGGAGCAGGTGTACAATGAAGACAACATCCATCATCTGATCAATTGGGTCAGGGATGGCTTGAAGGCTTCGAGAAAACGCAAGGTAGCGGACGATGAAGTGAGTTGAACCACATGCTTTCAATTGAAAAGGCAGTTCTGACTTGGGCAATCGCAGTATGTCGATGCCAAAGAGAGCACGGTACCTACGACCCCGAGAAAGAGGCAGCGACTAGCAGCGACGAATGCAACACCACAGTCACAGCGCAAGAAGTCCCTGATGACTCCCACCCATAAACGGTAGGAAATGGCGAAAACGAATATTCCTCATGAAGTACGACTGACGTATAGCAGGATCGTTGTGAAAAAGCCACTTGAGTTTACTCCTCTGGGCACCCGTGTCCTCTCACCCACGCATTTCGACTCTCCTTACCGGCAAGCTCGGAATTTGCTACATGTCTCCACCGTTCCAGACTCATTGCCATGCCGAAAGACTGAGTTCAACACTGTATATAACCACCTTAGCGCTGCGATCATGGAAGGCACAGGCGCCTGTATCTATATCTCCGGTACCCCAGGCACGGGTAAGACTGCCACGGTACGTGAGGTGGTTGCACAGCTAAACGGTGCCGTGCATGAAGAAGAGATGGACGATTTCATCTTTGTCGAGATTAACGGCATGAAAGTCACCGACCCGCATCAATCCTACTCCTTACTATGGGAAGCCTTGAAGGGCGACCGAGTATCACCCTCCCACGCATTGGATCTCCTCGAAAGAGAATTCTCAAATCCCTCCCCTCGTCGGGTCTCGTGTGTTGTGCTCATGGATGAATTGGATCAGCTTGTTACGAAAAATCAGTCCGTCATGTATAACTTCTTTAACTGGCCGGCTCTCCGCCACTCGCGCCTTATTGTCCTGGCTGTCGCAAACACCATGGATCTCCCCGAAAGAACTCTAAGCAACAAAATATCCAGTCGTCTCGGTTTAACCCGTATCACATTCCCTGGATACCGTCACACAGATCTAATGGAAATTATCAGTACCCGCTTGGCCAATGTACCGGGTAATATTGTTGATCCAGACGCCGTCCAATTTGCAAGTCGCAAAGTAGCCGCCGTCAGCGGTGATGCTCGAAGAGCTTTGGACATCTGCCGTCGAGCCGTTGAAATCGCCGAGCAAGCAGCAGACGAGGCTGCTGCCGCATATGAGGCAAAAGACGAGACAGAATCATTGCCTCCCACGCCCAGCAAAACCCCCGCCCGGCGCAACAAGGCTATCGCAGCCAAAGAAAATGGAGCATCGGTCGTCGCTAAACCTCCTGCGAAAGGCCAGCCGGGGCGCGTCACTATCGCCACTATCAAACAAGCCATTCATGAAGCTACATCAACTCCTCTCCAGCAATCCTTGCGTTGTCTCCCGCTATCAGGAAAGCTCTTCCTCGCAGCCCTACTAGCCCGCGTTCACCGGACAGGCATTTCAGAATCTACATTCGGTGACGTCCTCGACGAAGCCCGCCGCATCGCCGATGCAGCCGTCGCCGTTGCTGGAGCCGCTGGTGCTGGCGTGAAAGATTTCTTGCTGGGCGGAGGCCCCAGTGCTCGCGTGCGGAGCCTAGGCCATGCGGCTATGTCACTGATGAACTCGGGTGTCCTGGCGCTGGAGCAAGGCTCTGGCTCTAAAAGCGTGCTTGGGGGTACTACGATTCCCACTCGCGGCGACCGCAGTAGTAAGGTTCGGCTTAGGGTTGCGGCGGAAGACGTCAGGTCAGCTTTCAGGGAGGATGCTGAGGCTAAAGGCTTTGGTTTGGGTATTGAGCAGTGATTGTTTTGGGAGTTTTGATACGATCTGGAGTTAGTGTAATATCGCACGATAGTTTGCACACGATACCCTTTCAGTCCAGCTGTGTCTTGCGTTCTAGATCGTAGAGGCTACTTGTACGTGTTGTCCATCTGGGTCGATCGCCAAGGGTATCATTTGGCTGAATTGGGGTTTGTATCATACAAAACGTTAAGGCTCTTTTCTTAGAGACATGAAACGAACCTTGGCAAGGAAACTTTTCCCAATACATGTTTGAATATTTTAAAACCAAGGGCCTTCCATAGACCGCGCTTAACTCCACGATAGTGCCAAAAAGAACTTGATGGCATGAAAGAAAATGAATACAGGGTATTGAGGAATCGGAAGAAAGGATACGAATGCCGGTGACGCCGGTCATCCCTCTAGTACCGCTGTCTACCGAGAGTCGGGGCCCAAGTCAGAGGGTGAGTCTCGGGGGTAGCTTGTTCGTCCTGCTTCCAGATCTTGATGGTCTTATCAGCTTCGCCGGTGATAAGACGCAAACCAGTACGATCAAAGGTAGAAGCCATGATACCCGCTTCGGCTTCAAGAGAGCCGGGCTGCGCAGTCGTCTCGATAGATTGGAAGCGATGGCCAGTCTTCCAGTCCCAGAAAGACATGGAACCGTCATCACCACCAGAGAAGAGAACGTTCTCGTCGTTGACGGCGAGAGAGTTGATGACAGAGTTCTGACCGTCGAAGTTTTGCATGAAATCGCCCTTGGGGCACATCCACTGCTTGATGCTGCCGGTACTGGCACTGGCAAATGTAAACTCGGTGGGGTGGATGGCGAGGTTGCGAACACCCTTCTTGTGGTGTGTCAGGACGCCCATGCTCTTGCCAGCGGCCAAATCCCATAGCCGGACTGTGGAGTCCAGTGAGCCGGAGATAATCTGAGGGTCCGCGTCTTGGCACTTGATATCGGCGACAGTCCCTTTGTGTCCGCTGAGAACGTGTACGTTGCTTCGCGTCCGCATATCCCAGACTCGGCACACGCCGTCGCGACCACCAGTGACTAACAGATCGAGACGAGGGTGAAGGGCCAGTGTGTACACACCGCTGAGATGGCCATGGTAGTGTCGAATCACCTTGTTGGTCTCCAGATCCCAACACTTGACCATCTTATCCTCACCACACGAGAAAAGGTACGGATGCCGGGGTGACACTGCTAAGCCACGGACGGTGGAGATGTGACCGGTGAGAGTGAGTCGCAATGCACCCGTCGCCAGATTCCAAATCTTAATTGTCCG